ATCAAGCAAAGGGCCAGAACTGCCCCTGCAAAAGCCTCATGACTCTAAAGCTGTTCTGCTTCCAGCTTTTGGGCCCCCCAAACGCACTGGCCCCTTCCACGGTCCTAGGAAAGGCCCTAAGCAAAGTGTGCCTATGGTTGTAGCCTTTCGCAGAATTTACAGAATACATTCTAATTGCAATCAACTAAGGCTACTGCCTCTTTCCACTACAACGTCATTCCCTTTATGTCAGGCAGCTTAGGAGGGGCCGTTGGCATTTTGGGGATGCAGCTAAGGGCACAAAGAGTTGGAGACACGTTTAGTTTGGGTTTGGTGGGATGCACTTATGTTTGCCATTACTTCTTGTGTACACTTATCCCCAGCCATCTCAGAGCAGATAGGGCTTCTAGGAACACTGCTGTCACCCACTATGCCTGCCCACCAGAGGCGTGTGAAACAAAGGTGCAGGACCGGGGTTCTGTGGCAACCTGTACAGATCCAACGGTGCCCAGTAGTGGAAGTGTGTGGGCTATGGGAAAGAAACAAAGTTTGAAATATGTGGAGCCAGATGCTCATCTGTGGGAAAATTATCATCAGAAATGTTAAAACTGTAAGCAGAGAGATTAGTACCCAGTAGACAACACTGCAGTTTTCAGAAAAATAACTGTTGGGCGCCTGGGTGGCTCAGTTGGTTAAGCAACTGCCTTTGGCTCAGGTCATGATCCTGGAGTCCCGGGATCGAGTCCCACGTCGGGCTCCCTGCTCAGCAGGGAGTCTGCTTCTCCCTCTGACCCTCTTCCCTCTCGTGCTTTCTATCTCTCATTCTCTCTCTCTCTCAAATAAATAAAATCTTAAAAAAAAGAAAAATTGTTAATGCAGTAGTATAATATAAATGTACCACCATTTTTCTTTTACTTTTTTGAATGGAATCGTACAAAATGGAATTTATCAGAACTCCTGCTTTTGTGAGACACAAACCTGTAGGTGTACTAGAAACAGCAAACATATATTATCTACAGGTGTAATCATGTTTTATGCATCCTAACTATCAAAAATTTTTGGTCAGCTATGCTAGAGGGATCACTGAACTCTTTCTATTCTCTATCACATGAAGAGGTGACCTAAAAGTACATAATATGCTACTTTTATGCTATTTAGTGATGTTTTTATTATGTCAGCTTTTTTAAATGTATAACTTTTTCCTCATTCTAAATATTCACTTTCCAATTACTATAACTTTGTATTTTTTTTTTAAAGATTTATTTATTTTTTTGAGAGAGAAAGCACAAGGGACAGAGAGAAAGCAGGGGGGAGAGGGAGAGAGTCCCAAGCAAGCCCAACCCACAGGGTTGATCTCATGACCCTGAGATCACAACCTGAGCCAAATGCCCAACTGACTGCGTCACCCAGGCGCCTCCATTGTATTCTTTTTCTTAAAGAGACTCCCACCCCAAATTGTATAATCTTCAGGTCCTATAGAAGTTGGCATCTGCCCTTGCCCCAAGTGAAATTTGATTAATTCATTCAAACATTTATTGAGCACCTACTCAGTATCAAAAAAGTCTGTATGTAAGAACATGTGAGTTTATGGGCGAGAACCCTCCTTATTACAGTGGGAGAAGACAGAAGAAGTGTGTTAAATGATGGTGGGCACCACTGAGAAAGGAAATTGAGGCTGGTAGACAGGAATTTGGTGGGTGGCAAGAGGGAGAAGGCCTCCACAAGAGGGCACCAGTGTCAGGCCTAAGACGGTCCTGGCACATACTCCAATAGCCACAGAATCCCAAGGGATGGCCACTGTTAGGAGGCCACGCCACGCCCAAGCCCATATCATCTCATTTAATCCTCATGACTCCCATCACACAGATCAAGGAACTCAGGCTCAGAAAGGTTAGTGACTTGCTAATGGTACTAAGTTCTGCAAGTGTCCTCAACCCTACCCCGATTCCATGGTGTGCTGTCTCCTCTTGGTGTATTTTAGCGTCACGGGATTGTTCCCCACCCCCCACAAACTGGTGTTTTAGTTTACAGTTGTTTTAAAAAGCAAAAATAAAAAGGTACTATAATGTAGGATGCAGTGATGTTTCCTTCTGTCCTGCAGCTGGGAGAGTCATCACTGCATCCTACATTATAGTACCTATTTGTTTATTTATTTATTTGGCAGACAGAGAGAGAGAGAGCAGGAGAGCACAAGCAGTGGGAGTGGCAGAGGAAGAGGGAGAAACAGGCCCCCTGTCGAGCAGGGAGCCCGATGCCGGGCTCGATCCCAGGACCCACCTGAGCCAAAGGCAGTCGCTTAACCAACTAAGCACCCAGGCGCCCTATAGTACCTCTTTATTTTTGCTTTTTTAAAATGAGTACAAACTGGGGCGCCTGGGTGGCTCAGTCGTTAAGCGTCTGCCTTCGGCGCAGGTCATGATCCCAGGGTCCTGGGATCGAGCCCCGCATCGGGCTTCCTGCTCTGCGGGAAGCCTGCTTCTCCCTCTCCCACTCCCCCTGCTTGTGTTCCCTCTCTCGCTGTCTCTCTCTCTGTCAAATAAATAAATAAAATCTTTAAAAATAAAATAAAATAAAATAAAATGAGTACAAACTAAAACACGTTTGTGGGGGGGGAACGCTAAAATAAAACTACTTATGTAACTAACATCCCTTCTCATCCTTGTCCACATCTTCACAGATTTTACAACAGTGTAACTGCTGTGTATCCTGCTTTCACCTTTTTGGTTAAGGCATGTTTTTGAACAGATTTCCATAGATCAAATGGTTCAAATTTTGTCTGGAGGGAAGGATAGGATCAGGATTGCCAGAGCATGTTTACTGGCTGTAGAATACTCTACCATACTGACAGGAATTGCATATCAGATTTTGTTTTCAAAACTGGGATTCCAGAATCAAAATCTACCATATACTGCCAGTTGCTCTCTAAAAAGATTAGACCAATTTACAGAATCACCACCTATGTAACAACCCCCAGAAACCCACCAAACACTGAGCTTTATCATATTAAGTTTCTGTGTAATTCTCACATTTTTGACTCCCTGTTGCCAAGGTAAAACCTGGAGTAGACAAATACACTACAGTCCCCTGATGCTCTGGACACTCAGAACTCAGAGCACGACTCAAGTGACCTCAGCTGGACACTCAACTTTGAAGTGGACTTTCCTGCATGCTTACCACACCACTGCTGCATGTAGGACGCGCATGACCCACTGAATGAAAGGGGCAGGTGGTAGGCTGATAAGAAAGTGGGTAAAGGAAAAACAGGAACAAAACTGAAAAGGTAAGCAGCAGAAAGAGAACTGTTACTGTCTGACTACTGAGGAGGTCCTGAGGTGACCAGAAGCCAGAATGTGTGGACAGAAGGAATTACCCACGCATCAATCTTCACTTTGTCAATCAGGTCCTATCTTTCCCCCAAAGCAGTATAACCCTGCTTACATACTGCCTACTTGGCTCTACTGTCTACTCAGATTCTTCTTCCACCTGATGATATAATGGCTAATGTTAATTAAGCACTTGCTATGTGCCAGACACCTTACAAACAGCTCGTCTGTAGACAGTCCTCACAACCACCATATGAGATAGCTAAATTTTAACCCTATTTTATCAATAAGGAACAGAGACAAATGAATATATCACATACACTTCCTTTTTTGGGAAATGAATTAGTAGCAAAGGACCCTGGGAGTCTGCTCTGAAAGGGTGGTCACGCATATAAACGCGCCAGCAAACTTGTGTAGTTGGGGAAACTGCACGTCAGCATGTAGTCCAGACGGCTCAGGGCAAACTGCGCAGTGAGAATCTGCAATAAGGCACGGTCATAGAAGCAGCATGGCCGGGGTGTGATCCTAAACCGGTCTCTCCACTTCCTCTGCTTTCACACAGGGCTGTGCGACCTGGCCAGGTCCCCTTCGCAGATTGGGAGAGAACCAAATAAAATCACCGGCATGAAGCGCTTCACAACTCTTAACACAGAATTCTCTCTTTTGCTGTACAGGAACTCACACACGTTGCAAAAACAGCAGATGAAGAAAATTAAAATCACATTTGTCTACAAGCAAGGATTACTCCATGCCTGCCTGCCTACCTCAAATGTCTTGTCCCATCTCTCTGGCAGAGGGAAAATCTGTGTTGTCTGTCCTAATGCAGTCTGCACAGAACCAACACTCTAACCCAATGGCACCTGATGGTTATCAAACATTTCCACAGTGGTCCAGCCAAAACTATCTCACGGAAACAAAACAAACCAAGAAGAAAAACCACCCTTTAAAGATTTAGCCCTGGGTTTTAAATCTTTCCACCCTCTCCTTACACTACGTACCATTATTTCCTTCAACACGTGATTAAATTTCTGTTTCTCCCAGCCATTACTGACTAGCCCCATGAGAGGCCACCGGAGGCTGTGGCCACCAGCATCAATGGAAAAAGTGCTTGTGTGATGCACTGGGCCATGTTCTGGTCCCAATTTTCCTTCGGATGCCTCCCCAATGCTTTAGGAGTATTTCCAGGCCTTAGTGGACTAAACACATTAACACCTAACACCTCGTTCCCACCTTTAAGATACAACTGAAGTAAAGGCCAAGAAGGGTGTGGTCATAACCAGCCTGAGCTTCCACCTGTGGCTCGGCGTGGGCCTCCCTGCGGGACGCTCCCCTGGGCCGACACCCCAGGGCCTCCACGCAGGGCCCCTCCGGACCCTCCTGCGGGCTCCCACGCGAGACGCCCCCCTCCCGGGGCCTCTACACGGGACGCCCCCCCGGGCCGAAACCCCTCCCCCGGCCGACCCCACCCCCCGCTCCCGGGCCTCCACGCTTCCGCCGCCGGCGGGCTCCGCACTCACGGGCCCTCCTCGCACGGGGCCCGCCGACTGGAAGGCCTCTGGAGCCCGGGCGCGGACTCCGCCGGTGGACCTCCGTCCTGAGGCGCCCGGCCGCCGCGGGCCTCAGTGCCAGTCCGGCCTCGGCCCGCCGCCCCCGCGCTCCCGCCCGCGGCCCCGTGTGCTCGCGAGTCTGCGTCCTCACCGGCCGGCCCGGCGCGCCGTAGCCCGCAGCGGCCTCCAGGTCGCGCCCGCTTCGCCCGCTCACGACCGCCGCGCCCGACTGCCTGCGGGCCGCCTCCGCGCCGCGCGCCCCGCCCCCGCCTCCGCGGACGCGCCGCCGATTGGCCTGAGGATCACTGGGGCAGGGCCTGTACGGCCCGCGGCCTGGACCGGCGGAGTCGAATGCCAATCAGCAGAGAATCGCGTCGTTGGACGGTGCTCGGTCCTGGGCGGGGCCTCGACTCGGGAGGCGGGCTTCAGCCTTGGGCGGGGTTTCGACCTGGGGGCGGGGCCCCGGCTCGCGGGGCTTGCGGCGGTTCCGGGCGCGGCGCCTCACCTCCCGGCTCCCGCCCAGCCAGCCGCCCAGCCAGCCGCCCAACTCTCCCCCATTGCACTCCTGGGGCCGTCCGGACCGTGGCCTAGGGCCACCGACGGCCCAACGACGCTATGCTGCGGTGGAGACTGGCCGCGCGGGGGAGGCCCACGGTCCTCTCAGCCTTGTCCCCCCTTTAGCCTCAGGACTCCCGCCCGGAAATGGAAATGTGACACTACTCCCTGGGCCTCCCAGGCCCGCGACTACGAGGAGCACACACCCCTTCCTCCCAGGCTTTAGTGAACTCCTACACATCCTTCAAGATCCTACTCAATTTGCCCGCTGGGCCGGGTCCTGCCCCGCGCTGCCCTCAAGGGAGTAGATGGGATCGACCTGGGTTCGTCCTTGAGGGGACCCCTCCGAGAGTTTCACCTCCTGAGCTTGGCCAGACCCATCATGTTTCCTAAAAGAGGAGGCTCAAAGAACTGACCCTCCCCACGGGGCAGCCCCAGGGTCTGAGGCTCAGCAGGGAGCCAACCAGCAGGCACATGGGGACAGGGGCTCAGCTTTGCAGAGAGGCCCCCCCACCTCCTGTTCCCACGTCCCCCATCACTCCCTTGAGGCCTTTCCACTAACTGGCCCCCAGTCCCGACAGAGACCAGCGGACTGTCTTCACTACCCCCAGGATGGCACACACGTCTCAGGGCTGGACCCCCGCCCACACACACACAAAAGGTGTGCAGGGCCAGTGGGGGCCAGGAGGAGAGAGCCTGGTCAAGAGGGGCGGGGGACTCCCTGAAGGCTGCAGGGTCTCCGCTGGTGCCAAACAGGAGAGTATAGGGTGTGAGACCAGAGAGAAGGTGGGTCAGGAAGCAGTGGCAGGTCCTCGGGTGCTCATTGGTGGGGGGCAGCCACCCAGACCAGGCTTGTAGTCCAGGTGTAAACAATGCCCTCTAGTTAAGTTGTAGAGCTCTCCATAGCCATCTCTTCTTAGAAATGTTTAGAATTTCCTAGATCTATTCCAGTAGTTTCTATTTCTAGGTTTCTATTTCTAGGTACTAAAAGAAATGTCTTTTAGTAGTTACTGCCACAGTGAATGAGAACCCTTTTCCCCTCCATTTTCTACTTCATGAGCAGACATCACTGAACTCTTACTAGTGCTAATTTTTAGCACACATTCTCTCACTTTAAGTAGATGGTCAGATCACCCGTCATTAATTTCTCCCTAGTCTTTGTGGCTCTTTCTTCTGGGCTGGGATTGCCAATACAAAGTTGGGTTACTGAGGTTATTGGTGCAAACAATTCTTCCCGATTTCATGCACAGACGTCCTGCAGGGCTTTGAACCTTTCCAAGAAGACTTCACACCTTCATAAAGAACCAATAATAAGGGGCGCCTGGGTGGCTCAGTCAGTTAAGTGTCTGCCTTAGGCTCAGGTCATGATCCCGGGGTCCTGGGATCGAGTCCCACATCGGGCTCCTTTCTGAGCAAGGAGCCTGCTTCTCCCTGTGCCTGCCTCTGCCTCTCTCTCTGATAAATAAAATTAAAAAAAAAAAAGAACCAATAATAACTCTTCACTTAATAGCCAAACAATAGTGCTTTATTGATAAAAGGTTAGTTTCAACGGATACAAAATTGCTGTGTAAAATAAGTTTTCAAAATACATTTCTATAGGTAAAGATTATCTTTTAGTAAAAGCAGTTATCTCTAAGTGAAAGTATTTATTTAGATTTGGGCAGCAAAACAGAGGGGGATGTAGAAGTGAGACAGTGTAGGTTCACCCACCCTGCATAACGCTTATCAGGTAGCAGCTGGCCCTCGCAGTTCTACCCGAACATACGGGGGGCCTGCAGCCACCACATGTACATGTGCCCCCAGCTCCACCTTTTAAACAGCTTTTACTAGTGTACTTAATGCCAAAATAACCCAGATAGCTGGCCTTGCACGGAGGTGCTAAAGTCACTTAACACCTTCTCTTGGTAAGAACTTTGTACAACTGTGCCTGAGCCTAAGGCTTGTGACTAGTCACCATTATGCAATAGTGGGAAGATAAAAGTTCTCGAGAACACCTGATTACTGTCTATGGCCCGCCTCTGTGACTAACGTGTTTCGACCACGTCACTTTATTTTGTCTGGCCCAAGCGAAAACTCTTCCCATCCTCAGGGGAAGCGTTTTCTACATCTCTGCCCCTCCTGTTAGAGCAAAATGAAAACATGGAGCCAACACCTGCTCCCTCCAGGTGTCCTTTCACCTGTCACTCTCTGGGGGCCACTTTCCCAGTGTCAGTAGAAATGTTGAAAAAAGCAAGCCCCGGAGCCTCTCAGCACCCCTTGGAAGGAAGGAAAGGGCCAAGGGCACAGAGCACAGAAGACTGACCAGTCAGACCACGGTGCAGATTTGAAATGTCTTTCAGTCTCACCCAACATACGGGGAGGTTTGTAGTACACATACCGAAAGACGTGATGGTGGCTGAAAATGGGTAACAATCTGCACATAAAAAAATGACTGCTGCTATTTGCCTCCTTTCAGAAAACTATTAAAAATTTTAGAGAACCAGTTAAAGGAAAGCCAAATCAGGAAAACCTGGTCGGCATTCAGGCATCATGGGGCCATTAGCCTCAGGGCCCAGGACAGGTCTGGGTTCAGAGGGCTACCCCCCAAAGGACCCTGATTCTCACTGCTCAGGCAGATCTTATAAACCTGTAGTTACAGAAAGCACATTAGAGTGCCATATAAAAATGTAAAAAGACTGGTTTCTAAATAAATCATTTATTAATTTTCCTTAAAAAAGTAACTTTTCATGTTAGTTGAGTAAAAATCGTTTATTGGCTCTCTCTGCGTAGGTAAGAATCACTGCTGTAATATGAAAACTGGAGCTGATGGGACTCTCGCTGTCCGTAGTGGAGGGTAACCGGTATCAGTGGGGAACACTACAAAACGTGGCTTGTGGCAGGTTCTCTGCAGAGCAGCTTAAAAAATGACCTAGCATCAGAATCCAAAGACTTCTTAAAATTTGCTCCTAACTGCCTGTTTTTTTTTTTTTAAGAGCTATTTTAGTATACACATATTAGATAGTAATTCCACCGTTTTACTTGGTAAAAAAGTAAATGTGCAGATGAATTAAACAGTATTGAATTATAGCAGCAAAACTGGTTTTAGGTGTTGTGCTCAAAACAAAGCGAAGCAAGGGAGAATCTCCATCTCGGTGACCTGGTAGGTAAATGCCCTGCAGACGCCAGCTCATCTTTCCGCATCACTGGGTCCACGTCACTAGCACCCAGGCACATGCTGGCTACGTCCGAATGTTCTAGAAATGAAATCAAGAGTGCTCCTCAACAATTAGTCAGTTAGGCCAGACAAATCAAAGAAATTCAATGTTAATTATACATACTGACTGATCCTGGAAATCAATTCCAACACTAGTGGTTGGTTAGTTAAGGTGGAAGAAAAATGAAAATGGAAGGTTCACCTCACAGAATATAAAGTATAACATAGCAACGAAATACAAATGTTAAAAGAACTTCATACAAAACACATCAAAAGTTTAAAAAAAAAATTAAATTCTCAGGCACAGGTACTGTAAAATGTGGATGGGCACCCCTCCAATGATCTCTCGGAAACACGCAGCTGTGGTACTCATGCGGAATGTTTTCTGTATCTTGTAAAAGCATTTTCTGGAAAAACAAAATATGACATATGTAAATCGAAGTGGTACAGCACTCACTGCTGTGACCATTAACAGCATCATTTTCTGTATAACAAAGGGCACAAACTGAGCAGAAGGCTGGCTCCTATGACCAGAGTTAACTAAATCAAAACATCTCTTGGGAACCGGGGGCAACACCAAATTGCAGAGTATGCAAAAATATATATTAGTTGTACATCCCTGTTTTAATAACACTTTCAAAGCTGTTTTCAGCTGTAATAAGTTTCTAATTGCATGACTAATAAAGGTTATTTTAATATTTAAATTGTCTTCATTAATTATATTCGTAAACTCAGAAAGAAACGAAAGTGTTTATAAGACATGCAGAGCCAAGGGGAAGCTTCCATTTTTTAGAAGCTGCCTGGTCTCCTTGAATGCTATGGAGTTAAACACAAGAGCTTCAAAATGCAAGACATTAGTTAAGACGAGAGGGAGGTGCCTGTCATGACATCTAAGTTGAGGCATCTGAAAGCACTACTTGTCTTCTAGGCTTTACCTTACACGTGGTGCCCGTGGACCCCACCATCGCCGTCCCCACCCTGCATCTGCAGCTGCATCTGCGCCTGCATCCTTGCGATCATCTCCTGCATGCGGCGAAGCTACGGGCACAGAACACAGGGGCACATTATTGATTCTCAAGGTTCATCCTCCCTGGACACTCTTTATGGGTGTTGTGTGATTCCTAAAATTTCAGCTTACATGCTTTCCCAAAACATGACAAAGAGTTAACACACAAAGAACTCTTATAATAAATCGGTAGAAAAACAAACAAACGAAAACTAAGCAGATAACATGCAATTCAATTAAGAAACAGAAATTAGCAGCAAACTGAAGAATTAAGAAAAGACAAGACAACAGAAGATGCTTTTTAACCTAAAAGGTGGCAAAGAGGCTGCCACTACCAGGTGGGGAGTGGGCCTGGGACTTCTCTGGAGGGCAGCAAGGTCCCCGCTACTCACGTGGTGGATGGGCCTCCTCTGCTACCCTCATCAGTTTTCACAACTACGGTTTCCACTAGTTTAGGAAGGCCTCCAGGCACGTTGTTATAAAATATTTACCTGAATTTTCTTCAAGTAACCATGTTTTTAACATTTAAGTACTTTAATCCATGTTGAATTAATTTGTCCAAAGAGGTGGGTTTTATTTGTTTCCAAAAGGCTGGCCTGTTTGAGGATTTCCTGGATATGCTTGGATTCCACAGCTCTAACAGACCCCAATGTCACCTCTACCAAACACTTTTCCATACTTTGGACCCATTTCTAGATGTGCATTTCATCAGCCCGTCACGCCTGTGCCATGCTCTGCATTTTTCTTTTCTTTTTTTAAGATTTATTTATTTGACAGAGAGGGACACAGCGAGAGAGGGAACACAGGCAGGGGGAGTGGGAGAGGGAGAAGCAGGCTTCCCACGGAGCAGGGAGCCCGATGTGGGGCTTGATTCCAAGACCCTGGGACCATGACCTGAGCCGAAGGCAGACACTTAACGACTGAGCCACCCAGGCATCCCCACCCTCTGGATTTGTATGAGCGGTGGAGCTAACCCTCCCTCATTAGTGTGTGTTTTACAGGGCCTCCCTGTGCTTTCCATCCCCCGTCTTCAGACCAAGCATCAGAACTATTTCAGCAAGCTCTCCCCTAGAAGAACGTCACAAACCAAACCACTCTGCAGGAATGGCATTCAGTTTAGAGAGAACTGTGATCTTTGCAATGAGCATCCTGCCTAAAGTCATGTGTCCATTTAAATTCTGAAAATTGTTTTCAGTAGTTTTCTGGTTTCTTCTCCATCAGTCCTGCATAGTTCTTCTTAAATTGTTAATGGGTGTAAATGGCCGTTTCTTTCTTTATACTTTCCAACTTGTCTATATGTATTGTCTATGTATGGGAAAGCTACTGAATTTTGAGTACTTTACTAAGTTACTAAATTCACTAAGCGTTAGGGACTAAAGTCACTAAATTTGCACTATTTCCAAGTTTTTCCCACTAAATGGCTACTGGAGATCAAATGATAACACATGTAAAGCAATATCCATACTACACAGAGATGTACACAATAAAAGAGATTATGTGTAATATATTCCTTCTTAAAAAAATAAGGAAGGAAACTGTAATGATCTGTGGACGTTCACCAACAACACCCTCCTCCACCTACCTCTGCTTCCTTCTCCAACAGGATCTGGTCTTTATTCATGTCATCGTTTTCCACTTTTCTAAGAGGTGGAAGAAATTACAAATTTAGTTGGTTATTTCTGATGACAAATTGCTAAAGTAAAATTTCACTTTACATTTCTGAGAAAAGTATTTAAAATTACCTGTTTATCACTTTTCTGACTAACATGAATGAATAACGAAATGAATAAGAAAGATGAAAAAAACACAGCACGAGATGGTGAATTTTAGAAACTTCTCTAACTCCAAGTGGGGGTGGGATACTCTAGTCTTCACTTACTCGAGGAGTGGGTGCTGCCATCAGGAGGATGGACAGGTCTTAATGGACACAGACTGTGACAAGGACACTTGAACAAGAAGCAGAGCCCGAGCGTACAGGCCGAGGGGGCTGGTGGGGGAGGCCCACCGAGCGGTGAGGACACAGCTTTTCACAAGCGCACACTTGGCTTCCTCATCGGCCTCTAAAACCTTACTTAATATCTGGTCCCCAGGTAAGTAACACAAAAAAGCAGACCTTAACATACACCCTGTATATATACACAAATCCACCAGATTTCAAAAATGTGAATATTTTAATAAACTACAACACAGCCACCCCCCCTTATCTGCGGGTTCAGGGACCTGCATTCGGCTGTGGTCTGGAGGCACATGATCCTCAGGAGCCGTCAGAAAGTCAGCGGTAGCCCAGCGCTGCATCCCAGGGCCTCCGTCCCTCACCCCCTCCTCGCCCTCCCCACTGGCGCATCCTCACAGGAAGACGGTGAGTACAGGGCAAGAAGAGATTCTGAGAGACAGACCACATGCACATAACTGACTGTAGTACATGGCTGTAACTGTTTCATTTTATTGTTGTTGTTAACCCCTCACCTGTTCCCGGATTAGAAATTAAACTTTATCACAGATGTATGTACAGGAAACAAGGGTGTGTGTATAAAGTTCGGCACGCTCCTCAGTTCCAGGCACCCACACCCACTGGGGTAGATCAGGAGTGTGGGAGCAACTGCTGTACAGAAAATTCTTAGTATAAACGATGTAGATCACTTGATACCTAAGCTAAGCAAAGATGTGGTGCAAGCAGACATGTATCAGGTCACAAAACACAGATCTTGAATAAAATCTATTGCGATGGTGAAAGAGAAAAGGTGAGGGCACTGTGTGCACTTTTGAGGAGTGGAGCTGACTTTCTTAAGAGCAGGTAAGTTATGTTCTCATTTATAGACAGAGTGATGCTCTTAAGACCAGTCTCTGGCCCTTCCACTTAAAGCTGTTCTTTGCGTGCAGATGGTTAAAGTTGCTTTTGACAGGTTACAAAAAGCAAGGTACAATGACATTAGCAACAAATACCTGGTAATAGTTTCTGAGTAGGAAACGAAATCATGTTGCTTAGGGTCAGGAAGGCCCAGTAGGACAGGTAGAAGGGGGGACAGTGTAACTCTGTGACACAATGTGGACAGAGGGGGACAGCATGAGGTGGGGGCAACAACCTGCCGCCTCTTTTGAGCCTCTCGGAACGGAAGTTTTCATAGTGAAGGTCCTGGGTCACCTCCTGGAGATCCTGCATGTGGGTGCTGAAAGAGAGAAGGGCACAGCAAGGCCAGCTGCGTGTAGGAGCCGTCCTCAGGGAGAAGCACAGGTAGTTTGAGCTACTTGTTACTTGCTGAATTGTACAAAGTTGCTGGAGTTTGGGATACAGGGCTGAAGCTGTGGAGGTTTCTCTCCTCTCCCCCACAACAAACAAGCAGAAGCACACCCACAGAGCCGGGGAAGAGACCCTTCCACAGACTTCTCCTACTGGCACTGCCAAGCTCTGTAGACCACCACCACCAGTGCACAGAGGTACAGATTTTAGCGGATCCTTTTAGGTAAACAAGTCTGAAACAGAACACTGTTCTAAAAGAACATATGGGAAACATGTAATTCCATTATTCCTGACTTCTCAAGTTTAAAGAGTTGATTAGTTTAAGCTATGGAAAAACCCATACAACAAAGTATTACTATTTTGAATAAACTAGAAATAAGACTTTCAATCTTCTAATCATCTCAGAAAACATCCATAATTTTCTTGGCTCAGCTTTTTCAAATACTTAAGCAGTCAAGAATGAGTAAAGATAACGCATTCCCGTCTGCACAGAATGTAGGGAAACAGAGGGAGTGCTGGCATGCTCTCCCTCACTCGAAAGAAACAGAGCTCACAGGAAGGCTCCATCTGCAGCCTCCACTAGAGCAGGCAACCATAAGGACCCGTCCTGAGCTTCCTACGTGGTGACTGAATTACGTCTGATAAAGCTCGGTTGTTTTAATGAATTTTAGTTACTCAAAACTTGCCTAGATCCTCCACTCTCTGATGGAATAAAGGGTCTTCGATTTTAGCAGCACTCTTTGTTCTAGCCTCCTGATTCAAGAACAACAACTGCTGTCACTAACTGTGAACTTTCCTTTTAGAGGGAAAACTTCTGCTTTTGTAGTCAGGCCTGTGGCAGGGGCTAAGAATGCACTGAAGAACCTCAGCGCTGCCCGGGGTGGACCTGGAGTGGTAGCGTGTTTCAGCTGAGAGTGGAGAAGCCGCTGTGCAGCCAGCCTGAGTATTTGCTCCCAGAGCATGAGGCGTCCCACATTTGGTGCGGCCATTCCACAGTGTACATCTGGTCTACTTTCAGTGTCAAGGGAGCTGGGAGACTAGGGAGGAGGGTGTGCTAAGCACTTGGCCTCGAGAGGGACAGGCCGGTTCCACAGCCTGAGTCCCACAGAGCCCCCGGGGAGGGCCTTCCACAACAGGCTGCAGCGGCTCCCCCTGCACACCCCGCAGTCTAATAGCTCCGCTCTCTGTGCTAGGCACTGCCCATAGGGACACACGGGGGTCTTACATGAGCATCGTCCGCAGCTTCAGAAAGTCATTGTGCTCCGGGTTCTCCACCTCCACAACGCCCCATGGGTAGAGGCGGCCTCTGACCTTCTTGCCCTTGGCTTCAATCAACTGATTGGACCCAACCACAGAGAACGGGATACTGGCCTAGAAAGAGACACACCAGGTGGAGAGGCTCCACACAGGGAACCCTAACTTTCACTGTGAACATAAGAACACAGGCACAGACTGAGCACACTGCTGCTTACTACGTGCTTCCTTGGCCAACTAATGGTATAAAACATTTTACTCAGAAGTGGCATGTATTTTCCGCATGGGAAAAATTATATGAAACAAATTAAACCCATAGTAAGATTTCTAAACCTTAGGTGACAACTATGTCAAAATATACTTCAAGTAAAAATATTATTGTAACTGAATCTACCAGACAATCTGTCAAAGGCCAGCCTTCCAGGATGTGGCCCTTTGTCAACTCCTTCCATGGTGCTGATGACCAGGAACAGGAGTGACTTGTGTTGGGCACCTGGAGAGCGCGCTTACCTTGAGAAGTCTAGTCTGCTCTTTAAAGTCCTCATCTTCATCTGATTCTGCATCAGGTAAGTGATAGATTTTGATGCTATGTTCTTCAATCTCATCCAGAATCTGAAAGAATGACAAACCAGGAGCAATTTTACCAAACCACATGACATTTTAATCAAATCTAACTATTAGAAATATATCAGAATTATCTAACCGTCAATGCATAATTAAACTAGTGACTTTCAAATAATTTTATAAACTGTTGGAGCAGTATTTATGCTTGCCTTTTGAGTGGTCCTCTGTCCAGAGGAAACAATAATGCACCAGTTGAGCACATAGAGCCGCAGGCCAGCACAGCAGCTGAGAGGAAATCACACAGCACAGCCAGCCTCAGGAGCCACACACGCCCCAGAGCAGCACGGCCAGATGTTATGGGCACCAGAAGAGCCCCAAGTGTCGCCCGAGGGGGCAGGCAGGAGTGAGGGGCACGTGGGGGAATAATCTTGTTTAAGGCTCTGAAGAGAGGACATCCAGGGTATGTTTCAGGAATAATAAGAAATCCAGGATGGCTGGGAAGTAAGCCTTCCAGTTGGGTTAAGCCAGAGGGACAAGTACAGAGTTGCCTGAATGCCAGGCTGGACTCTGGATTTTATTCAAGAGGCAACAAGCAGGAGAACCACATACTCCACCAACCAGGTTGCAGAGTGGCCTAGAGGGGACAGAACGCCCTCCGTGCCGGGCACTCCAGCAGGTAGAGGTGGGCTGGAGCGCCACTTTCTCTCCTGTGGGGTCCTGGGCCGCAAGGGCCAAGCACATACGCCAAGTCGGCAGAAATAACCCTACTTTAAACCCTAATCTGGTAATCTAGTAATGGATGTTCTTAATGGGAACCCTCAGGCCTTTATGATCAAAGACCTCGAACTTGACACACTGTCTGCACTAACTCGGGATTCAGGAAGAGGTCTTTCTTCCTCTTCGCAATGTCCTTTCAGTGTGCTCATTCCTAGCGGAGGCAGAGTAACTATCTCACCGGTGGGAGAAGTTAGGCAGGAAGCACGAACCTGCTGCATCTCTTCCCCTCTCCTGCCTGCCCATTATCCATCCCTGCTGGCCCTATCAGGACGGTCCTTACACTGAGGATGAGGATCGAGTTGAGAAATATGTAATAAATAAGCTATTCTGAATTGGAAAAGAGGAAAAAGAAAGTGGTGAATCAACAACAATCACACATTTCTCTGTCTGGGCAACTGCACCAGAGGTGGGCTCAGGTACAGAGCCAGGGAAGCTGGGAGGCAAGCTCATGAGCAGGGGAAGAAGAGACTCTTGTTTACAAACAGAAATCACATGAAAAAGATTCTCAGAAGGGAGAAGCAGAAGCCACATGAGATATGATATGATCAAAACAATATTAACCAATGCCAACATTCAGGGGTTAGGAAGACAGGTGATAAAAGAGGCAGTAAGACAAGTCTTCTGAAAGCATAGCAAACCCTGCTTCTGAGGCCCAAGGCTGGTGGAGGGCTCGCTGGCCAAGCTCTAGACAGGACAACTGCTGCTGGCCGACGGGGAGCCAGAGTTCGAGATAAAGGAAAGATTAGGAAATAACACCTGGAAGTGGAAGACTAAAGCAGGTCTGCCAGAGGTTCTTCTAGGTCAGGGAGTGGGGGATACCAGGAGGTGAAGGGGAAAAACCAGATCAAGAGAAGGATTAGGAATGCCCAAGATGAAAGCACTAAGGGCAAAACGGGATTTCACTTCATGTCAGATTTTGAAATCGAGCCTAGCCTTCTGGGCACAGGATTAGAGATGGGTGGACACAGCATTCTAGCTCTGACCCCGCTCCCCTACCTTTCTGGAATCCAGCCTAACATTCTTTATTAGAAAAGCTAGAGTTCCCTTAAGTGGGCGTTACCAAAATACGTACTGTTAAGCATAAACGTGCCAAACCTTTTAGGGGCTCTCCCAAAGGCCCGGATATTTCCTAAAAGACTGGCAAGCACTGAGACAACAGAGGAAAAGGCTGACAAACACGTATGCATTGTAGAAATGAAAAACTCTGCCGTGACAGAAGACATCCAGAAAAATGTGAAAACACAAAAATCAAAACTAGGTCTAAAAACATGGAAACCAGAAAACACTTCCCGTTTCTCAGATGGGAGACACTTTAGAAAAACCGGTGACATCCAGGACGGTTCCAGGGAGGGCGAAGAGCAGAGCAAGCTCACACTGCTTTGGGAATGTAAGGTGTTACAAATTTGTTTTGAAGGAAATTCAAACTTGAAATGCCCATCTTTCAACACTTAAAATGCCCATCAATTTCCTTTCTCAGAATCTGTCTGACTTAAACAATTCTGAGAAGGCAGACATGTGCCTACTCTGTGCCAGGTACTGTTCTAGACTCTTGGAATACACAAGGGAGCTAAGCAAAGATCCCTGATGCCAGGAATTAAGGGGTGGCGGTGGGAGGACCAAAAAACACACTGAAGAAGTATTTTGAGTGTGCTGGGAGTGTACCTAGCTGAGTGTGTGTGTTTGTGTGTGTATCTGTTGCTCTGAGCTGTGTAAGGGTTCGGGGGAGTGTTTTCTGTGTGTACTGGGAATTCTTAGAAAGTCAAATGGCAGAATAATATATGTATGCTATGGTCCCATCCTATAAAAACAAAAACATAAATAGACTATGCTCTGGAAGGGTAAGTATGTAACTGTTACAACAACTGCTTTTATGGGTAATTAAAAGAACTTTCGGGGTGCCTGGGTGGCTTACTCTGTTAAGTGTCAGACTCTTGGTTTTGGCCCAGGTCATGATCTCAAGGTTGGGGGATTGAGCCCTGCTTTGGGTTCCACACTGGGTGTGGGGCCTGCTTGGCATTCTCTCTCTCCCTCGCTCTGTCCCCACCCACACCCCTGCTCACGTCCTCTCAAAAAATGAAAGAACTTTTATTTGTAGAATTTAGCATTTGAGCTTGGACTTTCTTAATGAGCAAATAGAAATAGGCATTTAATTAAAAAATATATACCAAAAATTCCACAAAGAGGCTTTTCAGATAACACAGGAAAAGGCACCAGAGTCCAACAACCAGCACAGGATTGCTGGGAGGAGAGGGGTACACGGGGCTGGCAGATGGACAAGTGCAAGGCAACCTCTTAACGGCCAAAACAGAGGCCCTTTAAATAGTCACAATACCAGACGATGACAATTAAAACATATTCCTAAACGGATTGTTTGCACTAAAACATTTAGATAAACTTAAGAAACTTCACAGAGAGGATCACACTTCCACATTCCTATCACTCACCTAGCACATGGCGTCCCTTCTACTCACTGAGAGCGTTTTCATGTACGGTGAATTACAAAGAATAAGAACTTGACAACGGTTAGAATATTAATCTACAAGTGTTAGGTGTTCCTTAAAAACGATTGGACTCCTCCCACCTGCTCCCCCGTATCTCAGACACACATCCACTCTTTCCCAGGCACCTGGCCCTCAGCTACCCTGAGTAAAAACACATACCCTTTTCTTCAAGCGCTCCCGTTCCTTCAGGGTGAGGGTGTCGGCTTTGGCAATGACAGGCACAATGTTCACCTTATTGTGTATCGCTTTCATAAATGCGACGTCTAAAGGCTTGAGTCTGAAGGGAATGGAACACACATTTCTTTTCTCTCAAAATTATCTCACTTCTTGTATGAAAATATGCAACTTGGGGGAAGCTGTCAACCCAGCAAGTAGAAAGGAAATTCTAAGGACTTGGTTTCTATGGTGGGGTCCACTTACCCATGTCCAAAGGGTGAGATAAAGTAAAAGCAGCAGTGCACCCTGTTATCGATGATGTGCCGCCTGTTCAAACCACTCTCGTCATGCAGGTACCGTTCAAACTGCTCATCGATGTAGGAGATGATGGTCTTAAAACTGAGAAACATAAATATTGGTAACAGTGGGATACAAAAGGCAGGCACTCCCTAACTTCAAAGACAAAACAAGTTTTTTTCTTCCCTGCCTCTCTACCAAATATAATTTGATAACACAGTTATAAGATGGGACTGGAAAACAGACTCCTACATTTGGCAAGACGGAGGTTTCTGGAAAGTGTGCCAAGCATAATTTCCCTGCAGTGCTGGGGGGGTGGGTGTCAAAGGCCCGAACAGAACCGTTGAAAGCACCTGAGGTGACTGAGCAGACAGTGGGCTGCCAGCTCTCACAAGGACTGTGCGCCGCAGACGGGGCAGTGTGTGAAAACGTAAACCCCTGCTGCACGATGCAAACAGCAAGGCAGGGCAGGGAGAGACTCCCGAGGAAGGAAGGAGATGGGAGAGCCCCCCCTGCTTCCCCTTGCCTCACCCTTCCTCCTCAGGGGCAGGCGAGCTGGTGCTATACACTCCACGAGACTGGAGCCCACCGCTTCTGCCACGGGTGCGGCCATGGGGCAGGGTGCTCTTCCACCTGCAGCCGTGCCCGTACCCGTGCTAACGAGGCCATGGATCGAGTCTCTAAGAGGAAGTCTACGTCACAATCTTCTCCGCTGGCCAGAGTTCATTCAGATCCAGGGGTTTCATTTATACTAGCAGTTGATGAATGTTTGGCTGTTACGGAAAAAATACTCATTCTTTGTGAAGTTCCTCCTCTAAAATGTTATAATCAGTGCACTTTAAAGTGTTTCACTGCTTTATTATACACAGCTACCTCAAACCCAATCATCACTCTAACACTGTAAATGTGAATACGTTCAAATAACCGTAAGCACTTCCGGGGCCGTGCGTCCCTGCGGGGCGTACCAATCCCTGCAGTTGATGGCGTCCCCATAGCCAGGTGTGTCCACCACTGTCAGGCGCAGCTTGACCCCTCGCTCCTCAATCTCCACAGTCGAAGCCTCAATCTGGACAGTTCTTTCAATTTTCTCTAGAAAAGAAACAAACTTAATGAGAAAACGTACTTACAAATTAACCCAGTTTTCGGGGGGAGGAGCAAGGTGGCGGAGGAGTAGGAGACCTAAATTTCGTATAGTCCCAAGAATTCAGCTGGATAGGGATCAAACCATTCTGAACACCTACGAACTCAACAGGAGATCGAAGAAAAGAATAGCAACAACTGTCTGAGCAGAAAAGCGACCACTTTCTCGAAGGTTCATTGAAATTGAAAACTCATAGGATAGTATCAATAGCAGACTGGAGCAAGGCGAAGACAGATTTGGTGAAGTAAAGCTTTATGAAGAAAATACTCAAAAAATTGAAGCCAAATAAAAAAGATTTAAAAAACAGAGAAGAGAGTAATACATGTGTGGAACAGAGTTTAAAACTAAAGATACAGTTTCTGATTCTGTAATGAAAACTGGAATGCCAATCTTCTGTTAACCATCAACTGTAAGGTGTGGAACCACCCTTATGTTACATTTTATTTAAAGAAAAAAAAATAGCATCACTTCAGAAATTTGAGAAGCCTACACAACCACTAACCTTAATGACATTTTATTTGAATGTCTGTGGAAAAACAAAAGTTTCATAAATTAAAAAAAAATTTAACCCAGTTTTCAGAGAAGAGATGACCTGTTAGTTTCTAATTAATAAATGACTTAGAACTTCATTACCCCTCCTGGAGGAAGGTTTTCAGAAGTAACACAAGGACCATGTAAAAACGATCCCTGAGTTGGCAAGGAAACCGGGCAGCTAATATAAAACAGCAGCTCGGGATGGTTAAAACGCCAATATTGAAAATTATGACTTCTGTTGCTGAGGCAAAGAGAACAATTTATGAATTTGTTTAAATACTGAATTCAGAGATATTTATGAAAGGGCTCTATGTCCCAGGTGTGGCAGCCCAGGTCCTAGGCGCTGACTGTGTGCTAACCCACAATGCTCCAACAATATGCAAGGAGAGTACACACCTATTCCCACAGTTGTCAGCTACTTAGAGAACTCTTTTCGTGAGAAAACATTTTCCCTTGACCCTCCCATCAAACATATAATATAGGCAGAAACTATTTCTTATACTTCTTTTTTTTTTTTATTTCTTATACTTCTACAGTAAAAGAACACCAACTCGGGAGAGGATGGACCTGTGGATTCATGCTCAGTCTACAAACAAGATCCAAAGGCTTCAGGTGCAGCACCTTTCCCAACCGAAAGAACATTGTCCTTGTGTTTAAAGCAGAACAAAACTACAAGGCTGAGGCAAAAATATCAATTATGTGCTCTCAGCCGCTGTCATGTAGAGAACTACACTTAAGTAGTACAGGGGCTTTTTGTACCTGCAGCTCCGGGTATGATTCTTTCTGGGTAGAGATCAGTCAGGAACAGGCTGTTTATGAGAGTTGATTTTCCTAGCCCCGATTCACCTTTAAATGAAAATGAAAACACTGTCACGACATGATCCGTATGACGTGGGTAATCTACTGCATTTACATGGCGCTGGGTTAAGTACCTCACACACATCCTTGTCTGCACTCCGTTTGAATCCACTACCACTTTGGAGTGACTCTCCCCATTTCATTGATGGGGAATTGGGTGCATTTGCTCGGAGAGCTATCCAGAGCAGGGCCTTGATTTGAATCCAGGTCTGTGAGTCTCCAGAATCCCCACAAAGTAAGATCAGAAATACACTCTTAGCTCTTCACAAATGTGTGGGATGGACTTTAGTGGTGGGTCTTTATTTTTTGATAAACAGAATGGAAAGTAGGTTTTCAGTTATGATTTTTGCTCATTGTCAAAGCTACCACATTTTCAGAAAACTGAACACATCTATCAAACAATGTCAACAGCACTCTGGCTTGCCAAGCCGTGGGAAACAGAAACAACAGATGCCCAAGACTGCACTGTAGTCTGCAGTCTCTCCCTCCTGTAACCGAGGCAGGAGCAGGCTACCTCTCCCCCTTCCTGCTTTCACACATCCCATGCCCCACCACTGGCAAACGTCTCATGTCAGGCAACCTGCCCACTCTCTTGAGTGTGGTAAGACCAATAAAGACAACACATACTCATTCGAGCATGTAATGAATTAAGAATTCCTCCTCAACTACTATCATACTTGAATTCTGAATGTTTTGAATTCTGTAACATTTGTATTCTGAGTATCTGAAACTTAACTTCAAGGAAAATTCAAGATAGCAAAGTTAAATTTTACGTTCCAAGGAAGCATGTAGAGATTCCACCATCTCACTGCAGGCCATCAACTAAGGCCAAGTTCTGCCCAGAGAAGTGCTTCTGAACTGAGTGCCTGACTGTCCCCTGGGCATCTTGGTCTGAACCTCCCTCTGGCTCAGTCCTGTGCAGCATGTGCAAGGGGCACACATCTGTTTTAAAAATCATTATTTCTGGGAAAATGAAGAACGAGTGAATTTGAAATGTATAAACATACAAAATAAAGACTGTACTTTAAATCACAATTTTCATATATGGAAAGGTCAAAAGGACAAAACTAGAATTACATGTTGAACATGTCCAATAAGAGCACATCAAATTATCCTTTTAATAAACTGCCTAGCAATGTCCTCTTAACGTTTTTATCACATAATGAGGGAATTTTACCAATAAGTGCTCAGACCTTTTGTGTGCCTGGCACAGGTCCAGGCTCCGGGACTGAGCTAAATCCCTACTTCCACGTAGCCTGGCGGTACAGTGGGGGAGAGGACAAGTAAGCAGTCACTCTGTCACTGACAAAATGGTGACAGCTCTAAGTAATCAAGTGGAAAGACTGGGGCACAGAAGACCTCTCAGTAGAGGTGTCTGAGTAGAGACAGCTTTTTTGAAAAAAAAAAAAAAAAAAAGCAGTTAATATTCCAATGGCTGATTCTAAATTATAAATCTTCATTTAAAGGGTAGAAGTATCTTCACTTGGAATGGCTTTCAGGCAACATCTATAAATAATTAACTCATTAACTCAGAACATGATGCTACTTTTGGGCTGAATATCTTTGAGTGGCTATAGCTTTGTGATTCCACGTTCATTAGTACCTCTGTCCCACAGGAGCTTCTCAGGTGCCTTTACATGGGGGACATAAGAACTCAAGTCCCACAGCACTAAACACACCAGGCTCAGCAACCTGTGTAGCAGTCCTGTATGAGTGGTGACAGCAGAGGCTGACTGGGATGGGAGGTACTCAGAGTTTACAAAATGGCTGTTTTCACTGATCAGGGAGAAATATACATTATCAGGCACAAGGTGGCGCCACCATATGAAAAATACGTGGTGACAAAGGTGAGCTACATTTTAGAACAGCCTTCTGAAATCCTGTCAGGCAAATGGTCCCAGAAGCTTCTGATTAAAACCTTAAAACTGAGGCTAAATTCCCCCTCCCCCAAACGCAGGCCAAGCCAGGAATACCAGTAAAAACAAAACCAAAAAAAAAAACCTCTCTAACCTGTGGGGCTGGTCCCCTTCACATTTACTTTTCAATTTTAACCAATACAACAAAGTGCTTTCTCAAACACAGTGCAACAGGGTCATTTCGGAGGGCCCCTGAAGGGCAGCATTCTAAGTGGTCCCCAGAGCTGAGAGCCACATGAGGAGGTGCCATTTCACAGGGAAAAGATGCTCAGGCAGGACCCACGCAGCTGAGTGGCCACCTTCCCACGCGCACATGCCCTTAGGAAGGAGTCCCCAGAACACGAGTTCGCATTTTCAAAACGTGTGAACCTACAATGACACCAGTATATTTTTACTGGAAGGTCAGTTTTCATTTTCTTAGCTTAGTTCCCAAGTTCTCAGAGTGTTCACTCTGTAACCCCCTCGTGAATTTTGTAATATTAACTAACCTATGGACTTTCTACCAGGTAACGTATTTTGGCAATAGGCTTTGTATTTTTAATATCGCTTTTTTGGGGAACGGAGCCACCACCCACCCCACATAATGGTGAGAGGCTGGAAACTTGATATAAATTATCACCAACTATGACGGGTTGACCAGACTTCAGCAGCATCAAGTTCCCTTACAAGCTACCTGCCTGCCACCTGGCCTCTGTCCTTGAGATCTTTCAAAAACGTATTTGTGATTTTAAAATTTCCTGCAGATTGCTGCCCAAACATTTCTAGTTTTTTTTTTCTTTTTTAAGACTTCATTTATTTGAGGGCGCCTGGGTGGCTCAGTTGGTTAAGCGACCGCCTTCGGCTCAGGTCATGATCCTGGACTCCCAGGATCGAGTCCCACATCGGGCTCCCTGCTCAGCAGGGAGTCTGCTTCTCCCTCAGACCCTCCCCCCTCTCATGCTATCTCATTCTCTCTCAAATAAATAAAATCTTTAAAAAAAAAAAAGACTTTATTTATTTGAAGGGGGGGTGCAAGTGGGGGGAAGGGGAAGAGGCAGAGAATCTGAAGCAAACGCCACAACTGAGTGTGGAGCCTGATGCGGGGCTCGATCTCACAACCCTGAGATCACAACCTGAGCCGAAACCAAGAGTCGACACTTAACCACCTGTACCACCCGGGTGCCCCAACATTTGTAGTTTTTCATTTGCATGTGATCATTTTGTAAAATTCCTTATTTCCTTAGACATAAGCCACAATTTTTAAAAACAGTACCTTTTTTCTTCAATAGTCTCTGACTTACAAGTTAGGTACACTGGCATTTCCCTGATACAGGTTTTTCCCTCTACCGGAAAGCAGAGTGTTCCTAAGCCTAACTGGTGGAAAGCAAAAAAGCAAATACCACTAATAGGTATGGAAGCATTTTTTGACATTCCTAGACCCCAAAAAATCATGCCTCAGGCTTTTTATAGCTTAGAATACATCTTAACAGATGTGCAAAATCAATCAAGGTGAAGCCCAGATGCTTGCACAGTTCAGAACTCTGGCAGCTGGACACTGAGAGGCTAAGAGTGGGAAGGAGCTCTGAGAGCATGCTGCCTCTGTACAGCTCACTGCAACACCGATGCCAACTCTTTCGCTTGTCTTTCAGTTAGTGAAATCGGGCACTACTGTAGGTCTTTCATAAAAGACCTAACGTGAACTTTCAGAAAGCAGGGGATACCTGTATACCATTTTTCTTAAGCTGCTAATAGTTACAATTTAAAGTTGAGGGTTCTTGTGGTTACGTTTCTAGCTGGTATTTACTACCCATCTCATCTTTAATCCCCTAACTACCTGCTTTATTTCAAACTCACTTTACTGAGGTGTAACTTACATACAACTCAGTTCAGTAGTTCCCTATGCTCATTTGAACTGTGTGGATGGGTTAGTGTGACAAAGTACACACTCAGATAAACAAACTCCACCCAAGACAAAGAGGATCTCCGTACCATGAGAGCTCCTTTGTGTAAGTCAGAGTCAGCTCTACCCGTCTAACATTACTACATGCATACACCAAGCTGTTTTCTGTCCCTACAGGTGGGTTTGGGTTATTCTAGAACTTCATACACAAGGGATCGTACAGCTTGCCTTTTTGGGTCTGGCTGCTTTTGCTCGGCACAATTAGAGATGAATCCACGTTGTTGCATCTATCAGTAGTCCATTCCTTTATACTGCCCAGCAATTCTCCCTTAAATGGACATATCACAATGTGCTGACCTACCCTCCTGCTGGACCCCTGTATTATGTCCAGTCCGGGCTACTGCAGGAGGAGTCGCTATGAACATCCATAATAAACCTTCTCTGTGGACAGGCCATCATTGCTCGTGGGTGACTGTGAAGGATGGGAACCATCAAGTTACATGGTAAGCATGTAACTGCGAAGAAAGCACTAAACTGGTTTCCAAAGTGGTTGCATCACTTTTTATTCTCAACAGCCGTTAGGAGAGCTGCAGTTGTCTGTATCCTTGCTCACACTTGGGACTGCCAGACTTCGAAAATTTCAGCCATTCCAGGGAGTGTGTGGGGGCATCTTGTGGGTCAGTGTGCATTTCTTCCTGATGACCAAGGAGGATGCTGTGTGTCCTGGCCATTCAGTATCTCCTATGAAATATCTGTTTCAATCCTGTGGCCCTTTTTGTAACTGGGGAGTGTGTCTTCTTCCTGAACTATACGAGCTTATGTTCCGGATACAAGTCCTATGTCGCATGTGGTGCTGTGAACGCTTTCTCAGTTTATGGCCTCTTTTTTTGTCAGTATTTTCTGAAGAATGTAAATTTTTAACGAAGCACAACTTACTTATTTTGTGATTAATGTTCTTCACGTCCTAAGCAATCTACTTACTCCAAAGTCAAGAAAATGTTCTTCTAGACTTCTTATAGCTGTACAGTTAGTGAACTGTGGTGTGCAGTGTGAAGGAGGGGTTCACGGTCCCTGTCTGCCACATGACCACCTATTTGTTATAGCACTATCTGCAAAATGACCAACCTTTTCCCCTTTGCATCACCTTGGCACCTTTGTCAAAAATCAGCTGACCAGGGCACCTGGGTGGCTCAGTCGGTTAAGCGTCTGCCTTCAGCTCAGGTCATGATCCTGGAGTCCTGAGATCGAGTCCCACATTGGGCTCCCTGCTCAGCAGGAGTCTGCTTCTCCCTCTGCCCCTCCCCCCTCTCATGCTCTCTCTGTAATAAATAAATAAAATCTTAAAAAAATAAATAAATAAAAGTGTGTCATGGTGTCTAAAGTCTAAAATAAAAAGAACGAGTTGACCATGTATATGTGGGTCTACTTTGGGCTGTTATTCTCTTTGGTAGATTTGAATGTCTACCCTTACCACACTTCGCAGTTCTTCTTGGTACGTCTCGAAATCAGAGAGTAAAAGTCCTCTGCACGCTTCTGTCTATTCTAGGCCCTCTGCACTTATGTTTACACTTCAGAATCAGATTGTTCATTTCTATTTTAAAAAAGCCTGGTGTGACTTTGGCATTATGCTGACTCTACGGATCACTCTGGGGGCAGAAGGGCACCATCCCGGGCACGCCCAGCACGCCAGCAGCTCTCATGCTTACTTGGCCTTCTCTCTCTCAGCCAAGTCACCACGTTGTCAGTGTAGGTCATGCACACATTCTCCTAAGTTACCCTCAGCAGTGCGCATTTCTCATATTATGGTAAGTGGCACCGTCTTTTGAAATGTTTTTTTTACTATTGTTTTTGATAGTCTTTTCAAGGTCATTTTAAAATTTTCTGTTGGTAATCCACAGAAATCAAGTTATTTTTGTATACTGATCAGAACCTGCAATCTTCTTTTTTTTTTTTTAAGATTTTATTTATTTATTTGACAGAGAGAGACACAGCGAGAGAGGGAACACAAGCAGGGGGAGTGGGAGAGGGAGAAGCAGGCTTCCCGCTGAGCAGGGAGCCCGATGCGGGGCTTGATCCCAGGACCCTGGGACCATGACCTGAGCTGAAGGCAGACGCTTAACGACTGAGCCACCCAGGCGCCCAGAACCTGCAATCTTGATAAAATTGACTTATTAGACCTAGTAGTTTTGGGATTCCTTAAGAGTTTTTAACATACACAAGTCATTTTACTTGTAATTAAGAATGTTTTGGTTTCTTTCTTCATGAGAAAGAATAACACTAACTATAGGTGTTTAGTATATACCCTTAATCAAATTGAGAAAACTTCCTTTTACTTCTAGCTTACTAATTTAAAAAATCTTTAATGGGTTTTGAATTGTTACGACTACATGTTTTAGATGACATTTCCCCTTTAGAACCATGGGGACTGATTTTCCCATGTTAAACCACATGCTCCTGAGATAAACCCCATTTGTTAGGATGTATAGTCAGCTTTGCCATAACATGAGCCTTGAAGGCGAGAATTTGTTCCGACACAACTGGTATGTTAGGGAACAATTCCAATGTAATATAAACTTTACATCTCTTTATGTGTGATTTCACTGCTGACAAACTAGGTGAACACAGAAAACCACACCCAGTAGCATCAAGCCACGAAAGAATACTCTCAACTTGCTACCAGCTAGCAGCAACCTCGGTTCAATGGGTGCCGTGGGCCACCCCCACTCACCTCCCGGGCACAGCTTCCCATCCGTCTTCACACAGCCCTCCTTCCACCGTTTCCTGACGCCCCTTTTGACAAACTTCAGGGACTCGTCAAACCATAGTGCCTATCATTTGGTATCGGATGGTATTTCAACCAATTAACATGTAAAAACCATCTTGATTGCATTCCTCACTCTCTTCCAAATGTGCCACTGAATCAGGTTTTGAGTCTTGTGCCCCTATTTTCTCCAGAAGCCTACGGTTTCAAGTGCATAACACGGTGATCCTTGAGGAGCACATGTACGTCGTGTGGCAGCAGGAGTGCCCGTGCTAATCAGCACTTTCCTGTGCTGCTGGACCTGCCAAAACTTCCTTGAGATGTTTGTGTCTATGCTCATGAAGTCGGTCCGCACTTTTCTCATTATTGACTAATTCCAGGGTCATGCTGGCCTAATAATACTCTCGCCATGAAGACTAGCTTTGGGGGGCGCCTGGGGGGCTCAGTCGTTAAGCGTCTGCCTTCGGCTCAGGTCACAATCTCAGGGTCCTGGGATTGAGCCCCGCGTGGGGCTCCCTGCTCTGCGGGAAGCCTGCTTCTCCCTCTCCCTCTGCTCCTGCCCCTTGCTAGTGCTCTCTCTGTCAAATAAATAAATAAAATCTTAAAAAAAAGAATAGTGGAGTGCCTGGGTGGCTCAGTTGGTTAAGCGTCTGCCTTCGGCTCAGGTCATGATCCAGGGTCCTGGGATCGGGCCCCGCACTGGGCTCCCTGCTTGGCGGGGAGCCTGCTTCTCCCTCTCCCTGTGCCTGCCTCTCTGCCTACTTGCTCTCTCTCTGTATCTCTCTGCCAAATAAATAAATAAAAATCTTAAAAAAAAAAAAAAAGAATAGCTTTGGTGAATGTTCCACATGCACTTGAAAAGAATGTATTACCTTACAGTTTCTCAGCATAGTGCTCTCAACGTCAATTAGGTCATATTGTTTGACAGTGTTATTTTAATATTCTGTAACATTACTGATTTTGTTTCATAAATTACCACACAGAATGTTTAAAACCCACTCTTACAAATCTATCTTTCTCCTGATTCCTCACCGTGCCTTATGGAGCTCTGTTATTAAGTGCACATACAGTTAAGATGTTTTGAACTGCCCCCTACATCTTTCTGATACATATTTATCTCTGGGAACATCCAGATAGTAGACCTAAAGTCTACTCTGTCTGGTATTAATACGGCTGCTTCAGGTTTCTCTTGGCTGGGCTCTGTGTGACAGTCTTCCATTCCGGTCGTTCAGGCTCACCCTGCCTGTTTCTGACCTGTCATGGTCACGGCTGTGGCCCTTCTGCCAGGTGCTGCCCTCTCCCCACCTGTCTCATCTCTTTTTACTCCTGCCCTCTTTTGGATTAAGCAGGCTTTTGTGTTCTATTTTATCAAACCTATTTGCTTTTAGTCAAACCCTTGTTTTATTTTTCTAGTGGCTGCGCCAGAGTTGACACCAGGCAATGTTAACTTAGCAGCCCTCCCTTATGGAATATTCCATCAGGTCAACGTATTACAGTAGCTCTTCTACACACCCTCCCGTGCTTTGCTACTCTGGTGCACCATACTCCAGTGTCATACATTATTAACTTCGTTTTAAAGGCAATTATCATCGAAAGAAATGAAAAACCAAGTAAAGTGTTTTGTATTTACCAACACACTTGCCCTTTCCAATGCTCTACCTTTTCTGTTAACCTGAAAAACCCCATTTAATAATCTTTCTTCTGGTGCAGGTCTGACGGTGATAAATTCTCAGTTTTTATCTAAAAATGTTTATATTTTGGGGCGCCTGGGTGGCTCAGTTGTTAAGCGTCTGCCTTTAGCTCAGGTCATGCTCCCAGGGTCCTGGGATCAAACCCCGCATCGGGCTCCCTGCTCAGCGGGAAGCCTGCTTCTCCCTCTCCCACTCCCCCTGCTTGTGTTCCCTCTCTCGCTGTGTCTCTCTCTGTCAAATAAATAAATAAAATCTTAAAAAAATAAAAAAAGTTTATATTTCATTTTTTTAAGTCTCCATCAGAATTCCAGGCTGATGGTTTTATTCTTTCAGTACTTTAAACTGTCATTTCCTATGGCGTATGTTATTCCTAAGTCAGTGGTCCTTCTTCCCTTCCATCCTCTGCATGCATTGTGCTTATTTCCCACCACCCACTGCCTTCCTCCTAAGATTTTTCTGTTTATCACTGCTTTTCACCAACTGTGTATTGTGTGACCTGGTGTGCTTTTCTTTATATTTATTCTACTTGGTGTCTGGATACTTTCTATTGGCCTTTTCTCTTCTGTGGTATATAATTTGCTGTTGGGTCCGTTAGAAAAATTTCCATCTCACTGTAATTTTTTTTTTTTTTAATCTCTAGTTCTTTCTGTTAAGTTCTTTTTGGTTACCTTCCTTATTACATTGATGTTCTCCTTTAGGTACCAGGAGCATATTTAAAATAATAAAAGTTCTTGTTCACCAATTCCATCATCTCTGTCATTTCTGAATCTGTTTCTATTGCCTGATTTCTCTCCTGGTATATGCTACATTGTTTTGTTTCTTTGCATAAACAATAACTTTTTATTGGATGCTAGCAATTTTAAATGTTACACTGTAAACTGGATTTTGACATCCTTCCTTAATGAATGATGGCTCTTATCCTGACAAGTAGCTTATTTGTCAATCAGCTTGATCCTTCAGGGCTTGTAACTTTGTTAGGGAAGGTGGAGAAGAGATTACACACAGCTACTCGCAGGTCTCAGCTCCTTGCCCTGGGGGACTTCTCTGTAAAGCTGCTGGAGAATTCTCCCAACACAGCAGCTGGCATTCCCCCAGCGTGAGTGATTAAGAGAAGATGGGGGCAAGCTGCAATCTCTTTTATGACCCCGTCTCAAAGTCACACACCTCCGTTTCTGCCCTACTGGATACATGTGTAAGCCCTACTCAGTGTGGGAGGGAGTAGAAAGTATCACAAACACCAGGAGGCAAGGGTCACTGGGGCCATTTTGAAGGCTCACTGGCACTTTCACCACAAACAAGGAAATGACAGAAATATTAGAATTTTACTCTTCAGGGGCGCCTGGGTGGCTCAGTCGTTAAGCGTCTGCCTTCGGCTCAGGTCATGCTCCCAGGGTCCTGGGATCGAGCCCCGCATCGGGCTCCTTGCTCTGCAGGGAAGCCTGCTTCTCCCTCTCCCACTCCCCCTGCTTGTGTTCCCTCTCTCACTCTCTCTCTTTGTTAAATAAATAAATAAAATCTTTAAAAAAAAAAAGAATTTTACTCTTCAACAAAATATTCTAAAGAATTTTTTTTTCAAATTCCCAGTTATTTGATTCTGACAATAAAGGAATTTCCCTTTGACTTTATAGGTCACACTATTATACCCTAAAGGTTGGGAAGGGAAGATATCCACACATTTAATAAGCTTGAATGTATAAGTTAATTTCTTACCGACCACCATTAGTGTGAACTCAAAACCTTTTTTCACTGATTTTCGGTGAACTTGATTGGGAAGATTTGCAAATCCAACATAGCCAGGAGTTTCTGGATTTATAAACTGAGTTGGTTGTTGCTAAAATAAGATTTTACAAAAAAGGATAAATATCTTACAAGTTGCTTTTAAGATATAATCAAACCTGTGACAAAAGTATTATTAGTTCTCACAAGTTAAAAAATATATATCCACTTTCAAAAAGTAAAAATTAGTATGATGATTATGCATCAGATAGTAACGAATACCCAAACACTCAAAAATAAAAAGAAAATAATAATCTTGCAATTTTAACCACAAGTTCTGCTTTTCTCAGCATGCCTTTTAGAACTAATTTATTTCAGGGCTCTGTGCTAATTTGCAAGAGCTGATACAAGCCAATTTATCAACTGTAAGAGCCCTATAAATTTCATGATGATAAATTATTCGAATTTTAAATTATTATTTGATTGGTCTGCTGGGAATGATGTACAGGAGGATAAATGGATTGTTACTGATGTATTTAGAAATAAGAAATTGGAAATCTGATAAAAGAAAGCTCTAGGCTTTCAAAATGTCAATTAAATTACAACTGTCTCAATGAATCAAATATATCAGTTGTATTAAAAAGGAGTCATATAAGTCTTGACTATAAACAGCTTAAAAACACAAGTTTCTCCTTATACTGTAGAGACATGAGAAGTGAGATCTCTCACCTTAGACATCTTCAGTGAAGTTTTCTTGATCTGTTAAAAAAAAAAAAAACGTACACGTGTTTGTATATATACACACACATTTGATTTAGCATGAATTGATGTGTAAAGACTTACACATAAAGCATAAACAGCTTCTGTTTCACTTGTCAATTGCATCAAATTACAAAAATGAGATTATCTCATAAATTAGATATAAAAAATTAGGTCAATTAAATCAACCATATATACCTATGTATACATACAAACATTCCATATTTCCAGTAACATCCGAACTTTCTTTAATACTGATTATATGCTAAGCACCAGGGACACAATCAGAGAAAAAGAAATTCTCATGACCTCTGGAATTATGATTTCATGGGTAAAAGATAGTCTTGGAGGAACAATCTAGGTTTCTCTGAAACCTGTCTACAAGGAAAGAGTGCTTGTAGAGTACTATCTGCTACTGAAGGTTCCTTAAGATCCTGAGAACTAGTTTTTGACAATCGGGCACACAGAGCAACATTTATAAGTAAAGGAAAAAGGACTGAAGACACTGGAGTGCTTGAGGAGTGTAACAAAGGTTTTAGAGACATTCGGAATTTTAATATGAATTTTAAAAGACTTGAAAGTTTGGGGAACACAGAGTCTACTGGGTAATCTTTGGTAACAAAGTCAAGAGATACAAATGCAGTCAGACTTGATTCCCTCTGGAGCTTAGAAACTTATTAGGAAGTTTCTTTCCTCCCCATCGCCCAAACCTTAACATTCCCAAAAACTGCACACCCTGTTTCCCTTCTGAATGTCAATGTTCCCAACCACCTCTGAAGAATGAGGCTCTTGCACCCCCATGCATGGTTTGGTTAACTAAGGCTGACAGCAGTAGGATTTGTATTATTTCAGAGAAGACAAGCATTATAGTCTTGGTTCTCCTTCTAATAGCCCATCGGAAGTCTTACTCTCTCCTATCCAGCGGGAACAAGAAGGGAGGCAGAAGACAGCTGTGAACTCACGTATAGTCTGTAAACTGCTTGTTGCTACCACCATGACTGAGAAAGGGGTGTCTGGTAAGGCCTGGGCTAAAAGGGAGGGCCACCAACTGAGGAGGTGTGGAAAGCTCCAAGCGTAGGTGGGGAATCAAGGCAAACTTAAAGGAAAGTAGGACTGTTAGACAAAAACAGAGGCAGGAGATGAATTCAGAAGAACCTTTTGGCAAGGAAAGGAATACAGCGGATCCTGGAAAAGACTGGAGAACAGAGGTCCTAAACGCGAGGACTCTGGGAGTAAGATGATAGTGACCACATCTCCCTGCCTCCAAGAAGAGCTAAATAGGCAAGCTGCAGGAGGAGGAAGGCAATAATTTGAACCAAAAAAAATAGCACCACTAGAATAAAGATGCAAATACACTTTTTAAAAGAAATAAAACTGGGGGCACCTGGGTGGCTCAGTCAGTGAAGCATCTGCCTTCGGCTCAGGTCATGATCTCAGGGTCCTGGGATGGAGCCTACATCAGGCTCCTGGCTCAGCAGGGAGTCTGCTTCTCCCTCTCCCTTACCTCCTCGCTCATGCTCTCTCTCTCTCCCCCTCTCAAATAAATAAATAAAATCTTAAAAAGAAAAGAAAAGAAACAAAACTTATTGGACCTAAAACCCATGATTTTCAAACTGAGACTTTGGTAGCTCAATTGAACAAAATGGTCACAGTTGAGACTTGAATTGTGACTTGGAAAACCAAATATAAGAAATCTTAATGTACAGGCAAAAATACAGAGAAGGAAATCATGGGCAAAAGATAGTCTTGGAGGAACAATATAGGCCATTTACCTCGTTAATAATAGTTCTCATTAAGTGAAGAAAGGACAATAATAGAAGAAAATTTTCCTTAGAAGAACAAAGATCAGAGTCCACACATTAACCAACTACCTGGAGTGAATTAAGGTCTCTTGGATAGAAGGGATGTCCTAGGAAAATTCTATTAATAATATAGGATTAGTATTAAACCACCTCACCAAAACCTAAGAGTTGGTGGCAAGAGATAGCACAGAAGTAAAACATTCCAAAGGGAGGGGTGAGGGGTCATATGGAATATAGATGGTCCTGGCAGAAGAAGGAGCAGACATCTTTTTTTCAAGTATAGAGATTAACTGTGACTATAAAAGGTAACCATTAAAAAAAAAAAAAAAAAGACAGCAAACTTCCAAATTAAGAGACAGATAGAAAATAGCAACTTGATCAAGTCAGCAAAATTATGGAAAGGAAACAAGAGGAAAAATAATAAAATCAATCATTAAGTGGACAGATATGCTTAAAACAAAGTAACAAAAGTGCTGAAAACAAAAGGACAGGCTAAAAGACAACAGGCTGGCCAAACACAAAGAAAGTAGGACAGACAATAGTATCAGTCCAGGTGGAATTTAAGGTAAAAATGTGACCGTGATAAAAGGAACTACTTATAGGGAGATGTAACATTCCTAAACTTGCATACACAAATCATTACAGCAGATAAATACATAAAGCAAAGACTAAGAAAAATGTCAGGTAAACTTGATAAAAATACAAATCACGTGCAAGACTTTAATAACATCTCTCAGAATTACAGATTCAGTAAACAGTATGAGCAAGGGAAGAGGATTGTGTACTGCAACCAATAAATAAGAATTAAGACACACAGAATCTTGAATTAATAAAGAAAAGCAATTAAAGAAAAAAATCATGTAACTACTATAAAAAAATTTAGGGAAATTACAAAATATAGTTCTACAAATGATGTTTTCAACTTGTGATCTGTTAAATCTGCGGGGGGGGCGGGAGATAAAATACAACTCCCAATTATTTGGAACACTCCTGGATATCCCTTGGATCAATGAGGGTTACAAAAGCAAAACCACAAGCTATCTAGAAAGCAATGGAAAGAAGACAAAAGCAGATCTATGGGACACAAAAGCTTCATAGACTCTGATGAGAATTTGGGTTTTAGATATTTTCATTAAAGAATACTGTAGATAAAAAAATTTGGCTCTCACATTATTGAGAAATGAAGTAACTCAATAGAAGGATAAATAGATCCAAAAGCTAGTTCTTTGAAACAAATTCCTCACAAGTCCCATTAAGGGGGGAAAAAAGCAAACATAGAAAAGAAGGTGTAAACACAGACTCAGGAGACTCCGTGTGTCAAGATGGCCACAGATTTGAAAATCTGGAAGAAATGGATGATTTCCTAGACACTGTAAGTTACCAAAATGGAACCAAGAACTGGAAAACCTGACGAGAACAAATACCACCGAACAGCTGAATAAAATCTACCAATGAAGAAGGGACCAAGACCAGACAGAATTTGAGCTGCGTTCCATCCAACCCTGAACAGATACCCATGTCACTTAAGCCAGTAGAGAAAAAGGGAAAGCACTCCAGTTTATTTTATGAAGAAACTACAACTTTTAACAACAAACTCAGAGAGAGACCTAAGAAAGCTGGCTAGATAGTGGTATGTCAATCTCACTCATGAATATAAATGGCAAAAATTCTCAGTGAAATATTTGTTAGCAATTAGGTTCCAGAAATATACCAAAAACATCTACCTACATAAAGCAAAAGATAATCCTATATGAATGCTGATGAAACATGATAAAATTAACAACCACCTCTAATAAAAACACTAAGGAAACTGCTTAAATATAACCCAGGGTATTCCCGAACACCAATGGCAAATGTTATTCTCTCAATAATGGAATACTAAGTCTATTTAAATTACAATCACTAATTAGGCAGGGATGCCCATTACTACTATAATTATTTTAAAACACTTATTCTGTGGTTGTCTCATTTTTTTGGTTGTTCATCTGAATTAAGATCCAAACAAGATCTTCATATTGCAGTCTCACCGTGAAATTCAGTCAAACAACAAAATGAAAAAAACAATACAAAAGGTTTTTCACTGTTAAGACTGAATACACAGAAAACACAAATGGTTCAGTTAAAAAATAATTCTAGGGGCGCCAGGGTGGCTGAGTCAGTCGAGCCTCCGACTCTTGATTTCGGTTCAGGTCATGATCTCCGGGTAGTGGGATCAAGCCCTACTTCTGGCTCTGTGCTCAGCGGAGAGTCTGCGCAAGATTCTCTGCCCCTCCCCCCACTCAAATAAATAAATCTTTATAAAAAATTCTAGAATAAGGTAATTTAGTAAGGTGGCTGGATACAAGCCAGATACAAGATAATTCCTTTCCGTACTAGTAATGAATATAAAGTAATGGAAATGGGGTGAAATGTCATTTACAACAGAAACAGAAAGCAACCAAGCATGTAGGAACAAATTTAGAAAAAACAGGCCCTAGGTGCATCAAATCATTTTTATTTCTCCCAAATTAGTATACAAACGTGGTCCAACCCTAGATGGAATCCTAACGTGGGTTTTTTCTTAAAAGGGATAAAGTGACCTTCAAGTTCACATGGAAGAATAAAGGAGTGGGCACTTTGCCTTGGAAGCTATCACATGTATCTTATTTCAAACCAACCCAACAGGACATAGGACTGTCATGAAGGTCTCTCCTGAACATCCACAGACTTGCTTCTCCTCAGTGAACCCTGGGCCCCTGCCTGGGTTCTGACCAACTTCATCTGAGCACCCTGAGAATGCTGTACCTCGAGCCCACTTGTGTTCATCTTATCCTGTTAAGCAAGCCTGAGGATGTTCCATAGGAGAGAAAGGGAGCTTTCATTGCTCCCTATCAGTTTCCTGCTGGAAGGAAGTCAGGGAGACCTATTCGGATGCACACACATAGGAAAATGGAGAATACCGTTATTGGAACAGGCTACGAATTTTTTTTTTAAGATTTAATTTATTTGTTTGACAGAGAGAGAGGGAACACAAGCAGGGGAAGTGGGAGAGGGAAAAGCAGGCATCCCACGTAGTGGGGAGCCCGATGTGGGGCTTGATCCCAGGACCCTGGAATCATGACCTGAGCCGAAGGCAGATGCTTAAAGGCAGACACTTAACGACTGAGTCACCCAGGCGACCCCAAGCTACGAATTCTTTAATTTAGCAAGTTTTTCTTGCAATATGCTATTTCTTTCATATTCAGTTTTCCTGAAATATAATTTGGATCCACTATGATTTTCTAACAATATTAGTTATTAGCTAATGTAAAATGAAAACTGCAAGAGGAACGTGGAACTTTTGAAGCACCTGGTTTTCAGGGAAAAAGCCTTGATCAAACAACACAGGATGCTAAGCACTGTGATTAATTTAAACCATGACCGCAGACCATTTGGATCCCCCTAACTCAATGTAGTCAAATAAAAATTTTATTCTTTCCTGTTGTGCTCATCATAGATGCTAGCAATTGTTTAAACATTTGTCTTTACTTGAACATGGCTTCCTTCTTCCACCGAGCAATACTCCCAACCCAATTCACATAAAACAAAGCAACTTTCCCCAAACAAAAGATGAGAAACAGATGAGTAAAACTAGATTCTTGGCAATACATATAAATTTATTTTGCTAGTGGTATTTACACTAGTGGATTGCCCCTAACTACCAATCATAGACATGTTATTCTTCTATTTACATGTTTCCCCCCACACACAAAATGACCCTGCTGTGTAAGACCCCAAATGTCCATAATCCCTTATCCAGAGCTCTTGAGATATTCGGCATTCAGATTCTTTGGATTTGAGGAAGGTACATACACTACACAACACAACCTCCTCAATGGCTACCTGGGAAGCACACCCCACAATCAAATGTATTTTCTATAGTGACATATATGACCATTAGCACAAAGTGGTATAAATACAGAATATAAAATGGCTTCAACCCAATTCTGCTGCTGAATGAGTTCTGAAGTCCCCTTCTCTCTTTTCTTTTTCAGCAGTTTCTGTCTTCGGATATAAAAAGGAGTTGGGTATAAAAGGGGACCTGAGGGGCGCCTGGGTGGCTCAGTCGTTAAGTGTCTGCCTTTGGCTCAGGTCATGCTCCCAGGGTCCTGGGATCAGGCCCCGCATCGGGGTCCCTGCTCGGCGGGAAGCCTGCTTCTCCCTCTCCCGCTCCCCCTGCTTGTGTTCCCTCTCTGTGTCTCTGTCAAATAAATAAAATCTTTAAAAAAATAAAAGGGGGGGACCTGAATCACGTTTACGAATGATGACAGAGGGCAGTCTCATCCCCTTCCCTCCTCCCATTTCCCTAGGTCACCCTGCTAGCTCAAAGGCAGTCAATGCAAATCTGATCAGATTGAAAAGCCCTTGTTCTTTACTCGAGGGTGCTGTGCCAGGTGACAGATCAAAGTGGAAAATGGGAAAAAGTATCAGGATCAACTTCACAGCTGAAATGATTACTGCCGAGATTTGACAGAGCAGTACACATTGTGAGTTAGGGTACTGGGTGGTACAAAGAAAGCCTGAGTGGGAGCTACCAAAACCAAAAATAACGAACCTCAAATTACAAACACTAGGAAACAGCTTTTGGGACCTCTACACTGCATTGTATCTCTTATTAGGATAGCAAGGTTGTTTCGGAACATTAAATTTATCTTGAGGTATCATGATTGGGGTTGTTAAAGAAACATTTGAGAACCTACTATGTGCTGATCACTGTGCTAGACAATGGGTAAGGGTGACAAGACTCACTCATCTCTTCCCCCTCAAAAGACTAACAATCTAGTAGACAGCTACCAGAGGAACAGTTAGGGCCGACATCAGGCGCACACCCAATCCAGCCAGAGGAAATCTATTCTGGGCCGAATCCTGAACAACAGAGAAGGGACTAGACAAGAAAAAACAGAGAAGGTGGGGAGGTAACTGGGTCTCAAACAGAAAGAAGGCTTTGGGCCAAGACCAAAGGTGACAAAGACCCAGCAGTTTCAACTGCAAGTTCAATTCTACGTGTGGACGAAGGACAGACAAGGTGGGGTGGTACTGACAAAAATGAGGCCAAAAAGGGAAAAGGCGGCCAGGTCTTGTGGGTCCTGCGGCCACCGACCGGGGCCTTTACTGAGCAAAGGTGGCCACAGGTCGGCTTCACGTCAGGCGTTCAGGGGAGTGGTGGCCCCCCCATCCTTCCGGACTCGGCCATGCACAGGGCAGGGGCCGCGGCCGCCGCCGCCGCCGCCGCCGCCGCCTCCTCCTCCTCTCCCCTGCTTCGTCTGCGGCCGGGAAGAGCCTGGGAACTTACCAAGACGGCAAGGGCTTGTTAGGGCGACTATCGGCCAAAGAAAAGCCGGGTGGAATGGCTCCGGTCGGGGCGACAACGGGACGCCCCACAGGCCGCAACCTGGGCTTTCCCTCCCCAACCACGACCGCCAGGGCACGGTGGGCGCCCCAGGCCCAGCGCCGAGACTGTCCCTCGTAGTTCGCACAGGGACGGCGGGGGGTCACTCGGATTCTTACGGCACACGTCCCGCCGTGACGGCCCGGGGAGGGCCCGGGACCCGGGGCAGAGGAGGGCCGGGAAACCCGGGCCTGCCGCCCCTCCCCCACACCAAGCAAGCCTCCCCACCCGCACAGCCCCGGAGCCGGCCGACCGCCCGCCGCGAGCGGACCCCCGCCTCTTCTGCGTCAGTCCGCAGCTCGCGCTCCCCGCAACGGCGGGGACTCATGGCGAGGAACTCACCGCCGACGAGCCGAGGAACAGGCGCCTACCGACCGCGCCGCGGACCCGCCCAGTGCCCGACGTCCGCTCGCGCCCCGCCCTGCCCCGCCCCGTGCGCGGATGGCGTCATCACGTCGATCCGCCCCCTTGCCAACGCTTTCCTCGCCCTGGCGCGACCTGGCCTTCTTCCCCTCCCCCATTCGCCGGCCTCCGAGTGCGCAAGCGCAGTCTCGTCCGCGTTTTCCGCCTCTGCGCAGGCGCCGTGCCCCTCCCACGGCGGTTGGCCATATAGAGGCTGGGGGTGGGGGGGAGGTCAAGCGTAGCCTCTTCTCCTTTACCAAGATGGCGGCTTGTCCCTGTTTCGCCACAGTTCCTACCTTATGAGCTTGGTTTCCTTACGCTAATAAGAGTGGAACAGGTAATGTGAGTTTTGCTTTGTGGGTACGTAGAGTGGGATGAAGTGCGTTTCTTTACAAGGAGCTAAGTGACCGCTGAGGAGAAGAGAGGCGGACGGGGGTAGGACAGGTCACGGTAAGAGTGCGGAGCGACCACGGGCCGGGAGCCTTCGCCTCCGGTCGTCTCCTCCAGGAAGATGGCGGCAGCACCGAGCTGGGAGAGCTGGAGCAGGGCTGTGGAGGGTACGGCGAGCGGCCGAGCGGGGCTGCTCTAGCCCTGGGGCGCCGTCATCTCGATGGTGAGGGAGCTTCGTCTCCATTGGCCGCCGCGGGTCACGTGAGCCGTCGGCCCCGTGCGCGGACCATCGAGTTGGGCGCCCGTCCCCGGGGACGTGGCCGTAGTGCGCCCGGGCTGGGGCCTGCGCCCCAGGGGAGGGCGGGGCGGGCGCGGCCCCTCGCTGTCTCCTTGCGGGCTGGTCGCGAGGTGAGACCCGGGGAGCGTCCCCGAGCCCGTCGCGGCGACGTGGCTCGGGGACGGGCGCCGGGCTGCGCCGGCCCGGGCGTCCTTTCTCCCTCCCGGCGGCCTGCAGATACCCGCAGCGGCGCGATGGCAAATGCCGTCGTGCGGGGAGCGTTTGTGGAAGACCCCTCGCTGAACGTAAACTCAGTTTCCAAGACTCTGATGGGCGAGGGCATCGTGTGGGGAGCGCTGGGGGGCACCGAGAGGGCGTTGGAAAAGTGGCTAGGTCTTCGGGGCGTCCGCCTCGGAAAGTGAGAGGGTTTGGGTCCCCCTGTAAGTCCAAAGACAAAATCTCCTGTGTATTGTTCACTAAGCCCTGCTTGTGGGCACACAGGTGAGTGGACGTCCCAGTGGCTTGGTGCCCGCCTCAGGACGGTCAGTCATTGGGCCCGCAGGGATTAAGGTAGGGCACGTCACAATTGGGATTTTGTCTGCCGCAGCTGGCAGGGCTTCACCGCAGAATAAGCTTGATGTCGGTCTGTGGAGTCAGACCTGGGGTTGGAAACACGCAAACCTAGTGCTTAGGTTTAGGGTTTGATGCTTTCGAACAAGAAGCGCCCCCAAGCTAACCTCATTGAGTGCATTTGGAAGCCCCGTTGTAAAGTAGTCGAAAAGGTGTTTGGTGAAGAATGGGTCCCGTCATTGGAACTCCCAGTCCTCTGGGTCTGAAACACCAACCGTCGACCTATCTTGAGACTTTTAGGCTAGGAGAAAACGGAGCACACCTCTTCAAGTCTTGAGGGACAGCATTTGAAAGCCACTTAAATTCTTTTCAGTGAGGATTCAACTTTCCTGTAACTTCCGGTAGTTCCGCGTGCCAGGCACTGTTCGTGGGCTTACCTCATTTTCTCTAATCAAGTTAACATCAGCCCCGTGGACGTACAGTGAGTGTAAGGAGAGCACTCCTGAGGCGCAGTCAGCCCGCTCCTGGGCACCTCCAGGGCCGGCCCCAGCCCGATCTCCATCACAGCGCCCTGCCCCGTGGGCCAGGCTGACATTCCCAAGCCTGATGGGAGAATGTCTTCTTGAATCGCCAAGTTGTGTGTTTTTCCTTTGGTTTTCTTGTTTGGGGCTTCTGATTGTCTGACTTTGGCCTCATGACTTCACTTCTTCAGCACCTCAGTTCAGAAACATTTATTGGGAATTGTGTGCCAGACACTCTTAAGGATTCTAGGGATGGAAAGGTAAGGAGGATGTAGACGTTTTTTCTTTTCCTTAAGCAGCTTATGGTCTAGTATGGGGAATTCACTCGTCAAATAATTAGATACAGTGTTTGGAGTGCAGCAGTGGGAATATGTACAAAGTATGGAGATAGGGAGGAGGTGCTAATTGCCTGTTGTAAAGTTTTTACAAAGAATGTGGTTCTTGAACTGGATTTAGCGGATGAGTAAGGGTTTTACCAGAATGGGGTGTTCTAAACAGGAGGACTAGCTTATGCCAAGGGGATGCGTGACAGCTGTAGCTGGTGACACAAATGGGCAAGAAGTTGAGAATTTGGTATACTGCTAACATCTCAAATGGTGGAGGGCTTCGCTCAGGTCCTGTTCTGAAGGCCTTCATGCCCTTCCGTCAGTCCTGTCTAGGATGCTCTAACTTGGACAGGGTTTTCAAGTGATTACACTGTCCACCTGGATGACTTATGAGCATTAGTCACAAGTGGATGAGATAGATTCTCCATTAATGCTTCCCAACCAAAACTTGTTTATTTACTAAAAGCGTCTGAGCAGAGAACACACTTCTTGAAGTACCAAGTGGTACTTATATTTGATAAGGCCCATTCAGCATATCTCCATTCCGGCAAGGCTAGTGATCATAGGAAGCCTTTTTCCCTTTCCTATTAAATAACTAAGCTCCTGGAGGAAACAGCACACAACTGAGTTCTTAGTTGTCAAGCTACAGTGGCAAGAGGTCCAGCATGCATACTGAAAAGTTTTTGGCCAAGTGGAAAAATAGCCAGAGAGCATCAGTGTGTCAAAATGCCTTTTCCCTTAAGTTATGAAAGCAACACAACACTCAACATTTGGAAAACAAACTCTTTTCAACTCTATGACATTTTAAAAATTGATTACACAAGTTATTTTGTGCTCAAGTAAGTTGTTTTTTTGTTTGTTTTGTATTTCTAAAGTCAGACATTTTAGAAGTGATATCCCTAGTAGGCTGTTTTACCAGGCATGCTAAAGTTCCTCAAATACTGCTGGAGACCAGCCAGACGTGTTGTCCCAGACCTGTCTGGGCATCATGTTGTGTTAGTCATCTTGATGCTTGCCATTAATTTAATAACAATACGTTGACCATGTGTACTCTCCCTTAATACATTTTATTGGCATTCATTTGAATTTTTAAATTGAAAATTTTACTTCAAGTCAAGGTTATATCTTCAAGTAGTTTTTTAAAGGAGTAATATATGTAGAAAGGCTTGTAAGGAGACACTGAATTTCCTTCCCCAGTCATGTTTCCTCTCCTGCAGAGCACACATGTCCACCTCTTTGCCTCCAGCGCTAAACGGCACATGTGCTCTCCTGCTGCTTCCTTGCTTTCCTCCCTTGTATGCCGTCTCCTCACTTTGACTCTGAGAATGCATGTGAAGTTTCTAGCTTTCTTTTACCGCTCTGCCTTCCCCGCGCAAGTACATGGCTGCCTAAAGCATGTGCACCTGTAGTTTGGTTAGTCTAGTATTTAGTGTTCATGTTATGACTCCATAGTGCTGTTCACAGCTAGGCAAATGGTGTGATGGGATTACTTTTCCTTTCCTGCATCAGGTTTTGTTTTCCCTGAAGTTCTTGTGAGTCTTGTTTTTTGTTTCGTTTTTTGTGTATTTGTCACTAAAATTCAACCCCAAATTCACCAGTTGCCTAAATCTCTTTTGAAGAAATGGAGTCTTTTTTATCTAATGAAATTCAGTATTTTGTTAATCTCATCTGGAATAAATATTCCCTAGGCTCCCACCTGCTGGATTCTTCCTGCAGATCCCACTGCCCCCTTGTGTCGGATCCTTGGTTTCCTGGAACACACGTCTCCCTCTCTCTCGACTTATTACCCTTCATTGTGATGGAGTGCTTTCTTAAGGAGTTGCCTGGGGACAGATGCGGGTAGATAAAAGTTTTGAGAACACGTATGTCTGAAAGTGCTTTATTTCTACCCATGTGTCTGAGTGAGAGTTAGACACCATTTTGCTCAGACTTCTGTCTTCAGGGTTATTGTTGAAGACTTCATACATTCTGATTCTTCAGCCTGCGTATGTGGCTCTTTCTTCTCTGAAGCTTAAAGGACTTTTCTCCCTGCAATTCCAAAACACCCAGTGCAGTGATGTCCCTTGGAGGCTGTTTTCATCCAGTGTCTTGCCTACTCTTGAGGCCCCTTTATTTAGAAACTCTTGTTCTTCGATGCTGGGCATTTTTCTTGATTTGTTGTTTTGATTTCTTTCCATTCACTTTCTGTATGTAGAATTCAACTGTCGGACCTTCTGGATGGACACTCTGATTCTGCGCAGGTTGTCCACTTTCTTTCTGGACGACGTTGTTAACGTCCTTCTGGCTGAGCTGTTGAGTTGTTCTCCATGTCCCCGAGAGTGTCCTCTTGCTCTGTCCCAGCCTGCTCACATCCTGGCTTTGTTTCGTAGGTCTTGTGCCTCTCCTCTCTCTGAGGATGTTCCTGAGTTTTCAGGTGTTCTTTCCCTGAGGTCATGGTTTGCTTCAGGCTTTTTGTTTGTTTGGGATTTTGGCTTTCATGTCAGAGTTTTTCTGTGCTATCTGGTGATATTTTCCCACCTGCTCAGATGTCAGTAGTTGGGGCTTGCCAACTGTGGTGTTCACTGCAGATGTACCTGCCTCGGCCATTTCCTAAGGCACCACCCTGTCAGCTTCTTTCTGTCTCTCAGATTCTCCACAAAAATATCTTCCAGGCTCTTGCCTGTGTCTACGGGGCCAAATGAGGAAGAAGACTACAATTTTAGCGATATCTGTGGACAGACTTAGTCCACTGTCTTCAGAGTGGTGTCTCACCCTCCGTTGTAATGGGTGTCTCCGGTCCAAAGATTCTGTTTCTCTTTCCAGGGGAAAAAAAACACAGCCTTTGACCAGGGTGTGAAAGGCACAAAACAAAAAATGTCCTTTTTTAATAGTATTTTCTCCCCACTTTTTTTTTTTTAAGATTTTATTTATTTATTTGAGAGAGAGAGAATGAGAGACAGAGCACGAGAGGGAAGAGGGTCAGAGGGAGAAGCAGACTCCCCACTGAGCAGGGAGCCCGATGTGGGACTCAGTCCTGGGACTCCAGGATCATGACCTGAGCTGAAGGCAGTCGCTTAACCAACTGAGCCACCCAGGCGCCCTTCTCCCCACTTTTCTTTCTGAGTGCCCACCAGCTGTGTTATTTTTAGCTTACAACATGAACTTCACCTAAATTTGTAATTCTTCTGTTCTTTGCTAGTCCTTTGTAGCCCAGGTGTGGATTTTGCTTTGTCTTACACGTGTGCTGAAATGCCCTCGTAGAAAAGAAGAGGTG